AACTCAGAGAACAGACAAAAGCTTCAAGAAACTCAATAGCTAGCCCTTCGGTAAATCCCCGCTTAAGTCTTAAATTAGTTTTGGCTCACTTGTGCTATTAGAGAGTGAACCAATATCATTTGCATATCAGACTGATTCCACCCATAAGATCAGTCCAGATCTGATATGCCAGCAGTTTTAAAACCATGTGGTTTGGCTCACATTATACAATTAAGTATTTCTTTCCTCAATACTGTTGCAAGCTCACATTTTAATTCATTTCCATTACCCCTGTCTCCTGCTGAGACTATCTTGTTGGAAGACACACCTCTCCTGCATATCCGTTTGGAAAGAACAGACTTGCTTCCCATAACAGGTTATAGATTCACAACACTTTATGTTGGCTCTGTGTAAATACAACTTATCTGTCCTCTCCTTTCTCAGATTGACTGTTCAAAAGCTGCTGCAATAAATTATTCTGGCTGCTTCTCTCCTTTTTCAGTGCTGCTCTCACAGAGCATTTCTCTGCCCCTTTCCTCTCCTTGCAGGCATTGGTCTCCCTTAGGCTGATTTCAAGCAGAAGAGACATCCAGAGGAGTATTTCCTTCGTAACAGACATGCAGAGAACAGCCTTCTTACCTCTATGCTGATTGTCACAGGCTCAGCAGAGACTGAACTGCCTGAAAGGGGAGGAAGAGCTGTATTTTTTTTATTTTTTTTATTATTCTTTATTTTGTTGTGCTTTGGGCACCAAACATGCGTATAAATTAAACAACGGAGTGGATGGCAGTATCATTTAATCCCTTAAGGACTGGACTGTTTTTGCGATGTTGTACATTTGCGACCAGGCATATTTTTACACTTTTGTGGTGTTTGTGTTTGGCTGTAATTTTCAGCTTTCTCATTTACTGTTCCCATACAAATTATATATTGTTTTTTTCAGGACAAAAGGGGCTTTCTTTACATACCATTATTTATATAATCTCATGTATTTTAATTTAAAAAAAATAAAAAAATATGATGAAAAATTGAAAAAAAATACATGTTTTTGACTTTTACTTGAAAAATCTTTTACTCATCTACAAAAGCGAATGAAAAAAACTGCTAAATAGATTCAAAATTTTGTCCTGAGTTTAAAAATACCTAGTGTTTACGTGCTTTTTTGCTTTTTTTTGCATGTTATAGGGCTATAGGTACAAGTAGGATATTGCGGTTTCAAAACATACATTTTAAAATTTATCAATAGTGACATTGTAACACTATTATCTGTCATAAATCTCTGAATAACACCCCACATGTACATATTTTTTTTAAAGTAGACAACCCAGGGTATTCAATATGGGGTATGTCCAGTCTTTTTTAGTAGCCACTTAGTCGAAAACACTGGCCGAAGTAAGCATTCATATTTGTTTGTGTGTGAAAAAAGTAAAAAAACTAAATTGAGCGCTAATTTTGGCCAGTGTTTGTGACCAAGTGGTTACTAAAAAAGACTGGACATACCCCATTTGCAATACCTTGGGTTGTCTTCTTTTGCAAATGGTATGCCATCATGGGGGTAATTCTCATTCCTGGGCTACCATAAGCTCTCAAAGGCAACTTAACCAACCTGGCCATTTTCAATGTAAAAATATTTGACCCATATATTTGACCTTGTAACTTTCAAAAATGCTATAAAACCTGTACATGGGGGGTACTGTTTTACTCAGGAGACATCGCTGAACACAAATATTAGTGTTTAAAAACTGGAAAACGTATCATAACAATTATATCATCAGTAAAAAGTGCTGTTTGTGTGTGAAAATGCAAAAAAAGTCACTTTCACTGACAATATCATCGCTGTGATATGTTTTACTGTTTTGAATCACTAATATTTGTGTTCAGCGAAGTCTCCCGAGTAAAACAGTACCCCCCATGTACAGGTTTTAGGGTGTCGTAGAACGTTACAGGGTAAAATACAGTGCTAACAAATTAAATTCTCTGGAATTTCGGCCTGGGTTGGCAGGCAGGTCCCTCAAATTGCAATCAATAAAATTACTGAATTATGTAAAAATATTACATAAATACGCACGTAGAATTTAAATATATATGCATATTTATATATTTGAAGTCTACGTGTATATTTATATAATTATTTATGTAATTTTGTATTTGGACGTATGTATATTTCTTATTATTTTTATTTATTTTTATATACATAGATATATATACAAATTCATTGTAAGTGTATTTTGATATAAATATATATTAATTTTAAAATACAGTTAGAATAAAATTTCATATAGCTATATAATTTTTTTTTAATTTTTTATTATTATTTTAAAAAAAATATTTAATTTAAATTACTTATTATTTATATTTTATAATATATATATACAATATATATAGTTATTATATATATTATATATATACGTGTGTAATTTAATTATAAGTGTATTTTATATTAATATAAGTACATATTAATATAAAAATACACTTAGTATGACATTATATATATATATATATGATATATAGACATATATTATATAGATATAATATATGTCTATATATCATATATACACATATATAATTATTTTTATTT